GTCGATTATCTCGTCACCTATATATTTTGTCGCTACAATTAATTTGCTAAAGTGAAGGTCAGATATTTATCTACAAATTATGCCCGATGTATTTTTTACGTTCTTGTCACCTTTTAGCCACAACGGTAGCCCAAACTTCAGAAAACCGCACGCAAATTTCATTTTTGCGCTTTTTTGCCAATGATCTGCGTTATCAAGCCCTATATAGTTAATTTATTATAACAGTATTAAGTATAGGTACAGTGGCGACGCCAGGGTTTTATGTTAGGGGGGGCCAGACTGGGCCAGAAGAAATTAGGGGGGGCCAGAATGGGGCAGAAAAATGTAGGGGGGGACACTTGATTTTAGTTTATTGCTTTGCTTTGGTACCCTATTTTAATCAATTTAAATCAAAAACGCTATGCATGGTAATATTGAGGTAATAAAAAACAGAGAAGTAGGTATAGGTGATAAAGATCAACTTTAATAACCTCAATTATCTAGGTATATTGAAACATACAAAAAAAAAAAACATCAAGACATATCCAAGTAAAAATAGTTATTTTCCTAACAAGTGCGCAAAGTGTTAATTTTCCGCAAGCAAACCCAGTTTGTATAGATGATATAGAGACAGAGGAAACATTTTTCATCATTTGTCAAAGTCGACAAGGTGCACTTATTGTTGCTTGATAATTAGTTTTACTTTTTTGCACTCAATGCGGATGAAGACCTTATGCGCACAGAGTGCGAAAAAGTGTAACTTTAAGCACGGAAATGCGTGCGGAAAACGGAAAACTACTACTTACCGAAACCTAAAGCCTGAAGCAGTAAAATTCTTCGGTTATTATGATTTTTAGCAAAAGTATCAACAATATTATCGAGATTCATATTATACAGTGTGTCTCACTTTTCATGAATACACCCTGATATCTCAGTTAGTAATGATGCGATTTTATTCAAATTTTGGTGGTGATTGTATGTTAGAAAAATGAACTATTTCACATAGTAAACATTTTTATTTACCATTGGCGTGCGGTGTTGGGGGGTAAAAAGTGGTTGTATTTTTGGGAAAAAGATATTAGGGCATATTTTAGATAATTTTTTGTATCATTAATCAGCGTCCCCAAAAACCCCTTAATTCATATTTTAAAAATTTTGCGAGATGATTTTAGCAAAAAAATTAATAAATTGATTTTAATTTACATGCTCTAATAAGCTGTTTGGCAAATACATATGAAGTAAGGGGTTTTTGGGGATGCTGAATTTTAATCTGATGCAAAAAATTATCTAGAATAAGCCCTAATATCTTTTTCCCAAAAAACCCTTTTTCACCCCCCACACGCACGCCAATGGTAAATAAAAATGTTTACTGTGTCAAATAGTTAATTTTTCTAAGATACACTCACCACCAAAATTTGAATAAAATCGCATTATTAATAACTGAGATATCGGGGTGTATTAATGAAAAGTGGGACACACTGTATATATATATTTGTATGGTATATCATATAACATTTTGTCATATTTTCGATGTAGACTTTTTTCATGCGACTTTTGGCACAAACGCAAGTTTTCAGGGGGGGCCGGCTAAATTTCAGGGGGGGGCCCGGCCCCCCCTGGCATCGCCACTGTATAGGTATCGATAATTATATTTCATGCAGTTTAAGTCCTATGTACCAACCAATAAAGTACTAGTGCAGATAAAACTTTTTTCTAAAATATATACATATTATCGTTTATTCTTAGATTCAACCGATGCATATTTAATAAAGAAACGCAGATATTTAGCAAGTACACAGGAAACACCGGCGTATACAAGGGGGGGGGAGGTATGGGGGTAATTACCCCCCCCCCCCCAAGATCGTTGCGGTGGACGAGAAATATGTACCCTACACCTTACAAATAAATCTATTTTTTATATTTTTATATGTTATACACTCTTCTTATACAGGGTGTTCCGGAACTATTGTGCCAAAATTTAAGGGAAGATAGATCTCGCCAAAATAAACGTTTTTTAATTGTAAACCCATATGCGCATGCGCTTTGGTTAGGTGATAATAGCACATTACAGTCCACGCTGTGGTAGCTACGTTGCGCACGAAGAAACGTGTCTGAAGCAGAAACTGTGCTATTAAATAATACAGAAATCCCAGGAATGCTTGCAGTATTTATTAAAAACAATGATTCACATCAAAAGATGCTCAAAATTACGACCACCCGCCTTAATACATGCGTGACAGCTATAGCATAGCCTCCTTATCACGTTGAAAAATTCCTGGCGTTTCGCGAATTTCAGCAGCTGCTGCAACAATCCTTCCCACTAACTACTCCTCTATATCAACTGGAGTGTCGTTCACTTCCATATGACATAACAAAAAGTCGCATTCGGTCAGGTCTGGTGAACCTGGAGGCCATGCAATAGGTACGCCTTTACCAAACACTCTTTCCAGATTGTTTCGTTGAGATGTTCCTTTACGGCTTACGAGTAATGTGGTGGGCCTCCGTCGTGTTGGTACCACATGTTTTGTTTGGCATACAGGGAGACAGTTTCTAAGAGTTCGGGAAAGGTTTCCTGCAGTCGATATTTCATGCATGCATTGAAGCGGGTGGTCGTAATTTTCAGCAACTTTTAATGTGAATAATTGTTGCTAATGAATACTGCAAGCATTCCTTGGGTTTTGCATTATTTAATAGCACAGTTTCCGATTTCAATTTCGCTCATGTTATATAGGGCCGGATTCTCAATAGCAAGTCACGTCCGGGTTAAGCATAACTCCAGGGTAAACATTGCAACTGGACACGTTTAACCTGGAGTTAAAACCAACCCGGAGGTGACCCACTATTGAGAAACCGGCCCATAGTAAGATAACAGTACAGTATGACGAGAACACTATTATGGAATAGTCAGACTTCTGCCACGTTGCCAAGTACTGCTGCGACGTGACTGCGATCTAAAGACTGACGCTGGATCCCATTCTTGTTTCTCAACAGACTTGTCTTGTTTTCTAGTTTGCACAGTGTCCGGACTGCCCGCATGCGAATTTTGTTGGAAGGGATAGTGCTCATTCGTGTCTTTATCTACTAGCTTGCATAAGAAAGAGATAAAAATACATTTTTTGCACTATTGCACTGGTACTACCTATAAAATTCGCTATAATTCAAAAGTTTTTGGGGAATCCTAGAGTTCGGTTTCGTTATTTGTTGGTAGTACAGAAAAATTGTTTTGAAGGCACAACATAAACGTTTTTGGGCGAGGCACCCGGTAGGCGATTTTCACCTCCGGCGGGCTGGCTTGGGCTGATTACCCCCCCCCCCCCCCCCCCCCCAGACGCATGGGCTGGATACGCCGGTGACAGGAAACGGTCTGTATTGCTGTACGTATGTATATATGTAGCTTGTTTGGGTTTGAAAAAAGGACGGTTCTAAAACGGTTGAAAACAATCGCAAACAATCAATAAACAAAATGATAACGGCTCGGCTATCACAAATTTCAATAATAAACTATGCGTTGGTTTTGAATCTTCTCTGTTCCCTAAGTAAACGGAAGAAACAGTGGCGCTTTAGTTCAGTACGAAAATTACGAACCTATCATGGCGTTATTTTGTTTTATTTGTGAAGAAACTTTCGAAACCGGTGTGTTGTGCACCGTTAAGAAGAAAGGTGTAGATACACTGCGTCAGTGCAGCATTAAACGAAATGATGGAAAACACACTAATTTGGAAGGTGTGACGTCAATAGTAGTTAATTTGCCATGTCGGAAGGCATATGTTAATGAACGATGTATTGCTGCACACTTGCGGAAAATGGAAACCGGAGGCACAGTTTCTGGTCCGTCTACGCGTTCATCGGACACATTTGCATTTCATAGCCATTGCTGTTTGTGTGGGGAAGAGATAACGGCTGAGTTTCTTGAAAGGCAGAAACGCGGAAACCCTCGTGAACGCATTAATGTGTACAAGGTGCGTAAGCCCACTTGGAGAGACAGAATTTTAAACATGGCGCGCCTTCGCGGGGATAAATGGGGCAGGGCAATTATTTCACGCATTGATGCATCAGCCGATTTATTACTTCTACAGGCAAGCTATCATGACAAATGTTTATCCCAATTATCTTTGACGGCACCACGTGAGCCTGTCAAACGAGCAGCAAGTAAGGATGAAATTGATACTGCTATGCAGTATATTTATACCTACCTGGAGCAAAATTCAGACGAATGTCAATTTAACCTGTGCGACCTAATAAAGGAAATCCAAGGTGATTACCGGCCGGATGTGAGAACTGTGCAAGCACGGCTACAAAAAAAATATGGTAACGAAAATATCGTTACCATATTTTTTTTGTGCTGAGATTGGGGCAATCGCCAGTTGTATGCTTCCGCAATACAGGGTACACCATCATATTGGATACATGGTACCGGCAACGGAAATCGAATTTGACAGAAGACCGTCGCCGAATAGTAGAGTCAGCTGCAAAAATCGTCATTGAAGACATTCGCTGTAAAGCCTACGAACTGGATAATTACCCCCAATCGCATAATTTCCTGCAAGATGTGAGGAACGATATTCCAGAGACCCTGCGTGTGTTTCTGGACACGGTGGTTATGCAGAAAAAGAAGGGTGATGTTCAGAAGTGGAAGAACAAAAGTACAGCGCTAGCCCATTGCATAATTGCGGCTGCCAGACCACAGTCATTTTTGTCTCCCCTGCTAATAGGCGTCGCGTCAATGATTTATAAGACGTATGCATCGCGACGATTAATTGATGTTCTTGCTGCCCTTGAATTTTGTGCAACTTATAACGAAGTGAAACGTTTTGAAGTGTCAGCGGTGATGCGTCCTGAACCGCAGATTGAACATAATGCCTTCTGTCAATTTTTGTATGACAATGCTGATTTCAATACGCAGACTTTAGATGGCTATAATACCTTCCATGCCATGGGCGGTATACAATGTGTGACACCGGCAACTGCTCTACCACCGGATACTATCATTCCTCGCCTAACTAATTTGCCTGCTGCAATAGTGGTGGGAGAATTCGGCGACATACCGTTGCAAGCTTACCAACATGGAAAAGAACCTGGATTACAATCCCTACATGTCATGAATTTGGATATTTTACATCCTATGGACGACACAATTATGCCCTATGCCCTCCTCAGCAGATTTAATGTGGTTGTTCGGCAAATGGTCAGACCGGGACAACATACCAGGTTGGAGTAGGTTCATGGCAACGGTAACAGAGGACATGCCTTACGATGAATCAGTGGTATTGTGCTTACCTTTCTTGAATGCTCCGCCAAGTGATTACGACACTATTTTCACTGCATTACTATCTGCTTCTGGAAAATGTCAGGCTCTCGGCCAGCAGACCTGCTTCGTAACGTTCGACCTCCCGCTTTACATGAAAGCGCGCGAAATTATCGCCGCATCTAGCGAGGATCCACGTTTACAGCGAGTGGTGCCACGTCTAGGAGGTTTTCATCTCCTAATGTCCTTTATGGGGTCTATAGGATATGTAATGTCAGGAAGCGGTTTAAAAGAGCTGTTAAACAACATCTACGCTCTGAATTCTCTCGAAAAGATCATGTCGGGACACGCCTATTCCCGCGCATTACGGGCACACATGAAGCACTTATTAAAACAGTAATGACTAATGACCGCGATTGATTTTGAACATGAGGAAATTATTGCTCTACAATCTATTCTTGCGAACCCTGATCGTTCCGTGATTAATTCTGTAGAGTCGGAAGAGGCTTTTGAAATATTATACAGAAAAGTTAAAAATCAATTATGTCAGTTTGAAGAGCGTGGTGCAACTGCAAAATTATGGGTGCAATATTGTGAAATGGTTACCCTCATTAAATTATTCGTTTAGGCTGAGCGCAGTGTCAATTGGCAGCTCCATTTGGAAACTATTCACAAAATGATTCCTTTTTTTTTTGCTAGTGGTCACTTTCCCTATGGAAAAGCATGTCAAATATACTTGCAGGACATGTATATTTTGCATAATACAATGACACCTACTGAATATGAAAAATTCACTACCAATGGTAGATTTACCATTCGTCGTTCAAATAAGTTTTGGTGTGGCACGTGGACCGACATGGTCATTGAACAATCACTTATGCGCACGATGAAAATTAGTGGCGGCCTTACGCATGGACGTGGTGTTCAGGAGAGGTGACAACGGTGGAACAACATGTACAACTCAGATCAGCGCGAGTTCAGAGAGACAACGCGGACATCGCAAAGCTGCTCACGTGGTTTGAAGAACATCCTCCCTTCCCCAATCTATCAAATTTAATGTCCTTGGGTACAGGAGTAGTCGGCGACAATACGATCAACTGCCATGTGGCACGACAACGTGGCTTGGCAATTTTGGATACACTTATTGGAAAAGATTTCCAGTCCATGAAGTGTAAGCGTTCTGATCGCGTACGGCCCTTGGATATTATGAATACAGCCATTCGGGTAGTGGGAGGAGACGTCCCAATTGACCCTCTGTTGCTATTCCAACGCATCAGCATAGCTAAAAAATATGAAGAAGAATTGCAGTATTTTCTGACATTTGAACTGGCACCATTCCCTTTGGCCCCTCTTCAATGAAGTCGGCATGCGAAAAGGAACAAAATCCACTTTATACAAGTTGTTCGAACCGTGCAAAACTGACAGGGTCTTCGGGAATACCATGCATGTGATTGATGGTGGGTTTCTATTGCATAGAGTTATTTGGCCACGAGGTGAAACCTTCGCATCACTCTGTAGAAGCTACGTCAATTATGTCCAAACAAACTATGGTGGAAACTCTGTTATCGTTTTCGATGGGTATCCTACCAATGCTGCGGAGCGAAGTATCAAATATGCGGAGCGTTATCGCCGTTCGCGGAAACACGGCTGCACAGAAGTCCTATTCGTCGAAAGCATTATACCGAACATTGCCCAAGAGAAATTTCTTGCCAACGATGACTCATTGTAATGTTAACAGAGAAGCTAAAAGCGGCCAACTTTACAGTCAAACAAGCCGCTGAAGATGCCGATTCACTGATCGTAAATACCGCAATCAGCATGGCAGGGGACTATGACTCAGTAATGATTGTGGGCGAAGACGTTGACCTGCTAGTTCTACTCACTGCTCACGCAACTTCGGGAAACGTCGTCCTATTGAAGCCTAGTCGAGGAAAAACCCCGCAAGCCCTATACTCTATTGACAGTTTAAAAGACCGTATTGTCGCGGACAATATATTATTTCTTCATGCGTTCAGTGGTTGTGACACCACTTCCACGTTCTTTAAATATGGCAAACTGAAATTTTACAATTTACTGCGCAAACAACCTGCACTCTGTGAGCAGCTGCTTGCATTTAAACAGCAAAATGCCCAGCCGGACACCATCGCTCGCATCGCCGAATGCGTCATTATGCGACTGTATGGTTATACCGGCAAAGAAGATGTCACATTAAATACCTACCGACATCAATGTTTCAGAGCGGCTGCATACAAAAGACGATTCAACATCGCCTCGCTTCCGCCCACAGAAGCTGGAGCACGTCAACATGCCCTAAGAACATATATACAAGTTCAACAATGGTATGGTTATAAGTGCAATCCAGTGGAATGGGGATGGAACCGGCAATGACGGCCTTCAACCTCTAACAACATTACAGCCACCAGCCCCTCAAAACTTTTTAAACCTCATTTCCTGCAGATGTAAAGCAGGCTGCAGCCGTGCATGTGGGTGCCGGAAAGCTGGGCTCAAATGCTCAAATATTTGCACCAATTGCCATTCCAGCTGCACCAACATGCCTGAGCCAACTACAACTGGTGAGGACGACGACGACGAAGAAGAAGAAGAAGAAGAAGAGGAAGAAGTAGAAAAAGAAGACGAATACGAACAACACATAGTTAATGAAGACGATACGGAGCCTAGCGTAGAAGAAGTCCTCAGAAGGACATTCCCCAACCAGGTCCTCCAGGAGTTAAGAGAAAAAAATAAAATTAAAGAGCAGATTGAGCAGATATTATACAGTTACGTGGAATAGGCCTCCTGGGAACACAACAATAAAAAAACGCGCCATGTACTCTACCTCAAGGGTGGTGTGGAAACGAGTACACGTTGTCGCTACTGTACTTTACTGATTGGACCATAGGACTTAAATTCCGTGAAATTTAATTGATACATATTGAGTACTGTAATAATAAATTAACCATATAGGCCCTAATAACATATGGGCCGATCATTGGCAAAAAAGCCCCCAAAAATGGAATTTGCGTGCCGTTTTCTGAAATTTGGGCTACCGTTGTGGCTAAAAGGTGACAAGAATGTAAAAAATACATAGGGAATAATTTGTAGATAAATATCTGACTTTCACTTTAGCAAATTAATTGTAGCGACAAAATATAAAGGTGACGAGATAATCGACTGAAACTGTAATCCGCTATATAATTGCTAAGCTTTGGGACGCCACTGTGACGTAACGATTGCAAATACAAAAAATGCATAGGACCCCTTTTGTAGAGAAAATGGTGGTCTCAAGTTCGCATCAATTTTCTTTCCATACGATGCATAGGTAACGAAATAATCGCGAAAGAGTGGTTCCGAAAACTTCCATAACGGGTAGGGGTAGTTTCCGGGGAGATGTTGCATTGAGTATATATATATTATTTTTTCGGTCGACTACAGGGGTTGTACTAGAAAAATGACTTTAGTGTCTATGTATGTGTATCATAGGCGGGCACAAAATACAGGGTGTCCTAAGATAAACTGACACATTTTGTAGGTAAATATCTCGAAAACGGGAAAAGATAACGAGATGCGGTTTGTTCTGTGAGAATAGGGATTTTTCAAAGTTTTTTTCCACATTATTGCCGAATCCTGAAATTTGCTGGAATTTGGTTTTACAGACATGCGATTTTTTGAAATAAAATAACTGCCTTATTTTTAATGAAACACCCCGTATCTTTTGTCATTGTCAGAAAGCCTGATTTTTCTACTTTACAAAAATGTATAATTTTTTTCAATTATCTTGAACTTGCATCGTGAAAATTGCACGTTGTCGAAAGGAATACCATCGACTAACTTAAAAAAAAAATTGAGATTCAATTTGTGTTTAATACTTTTAATAACTAATTAGGGCATAGTTAACTAATAATACAAGAATTGAACACAAATAAGTGCATTTAAAACACAAATTAATTCTTATAATTTTTTTTTTGTCCAGTCGACGGTACGTCCTTCAACCAAGTGCAATTTTAACGATTCAATTTCATGATAATTGAAAAAAATTAAAAAATTTTGTGGAGTAGAAAAGTCACGCTTTCTGATGATGACAAAATATACTGGGTGTTTCATCAAGAATAAGGCAGTATGTTATTATTTCAAAAAATCGAATGTCTGTAAAACCAAATTTCAGGATTCGTCAATATCATGAAAAAAAACTTTAAAAAATCTTTATTCTTCCAGAAAAAACCGCATCCCGTTATCTTTTCTCGTTTTCGAGATATTAACTTCTAAAATGTGTCAGTTTATCTAAGGACACCCTGTAGTATGTGATCCATTTTCATGGAGGGCATTGTGTGCGAGAAAATGGGGAAAAAAGTATTTTTTTTTCAAATTTAATTTTTTTTGGGGGTGTTCCAGGAAAAAAATAGGGGTGCATTATACGATTTTTTTAATATCATTCCCACATCCATAATCCCTGAAAATTTGAACCGCCTAGCATTAGCCCTTCAGATGATATGAAAGGGGGTTGTTTGAATTTCAACACCCTGTATATCTTAAATGGGTAACTGTTTTTAAATAAAACATATATCAAAAAATCGGTCAATTATTTATGAGTATTTGCTGTATGGTTTGTGGTGGATTCGCTTTACTGTTCGGTAAAAAATAAAAAATCCAAAACATCTTTTTTCAAGGTCAGTCAACTTTAGAGCGCCACCCCGGCTAAAGGGTAGGTGATAGACATATGCTGTCACTGGATAAATTGTAGAGAATTTAGACCTCTTTAATTTACTCTTGAAGTATTTTTTTTAAAAACGTAGCGGGAGCGCTACGTTTTGGAAAATCCAAAAGAAAGAACCTTTAGGGGGATGAAAGGGGATGTTCCAGGGTGAAATTTTGTTGGAAAAAGTTAGAATCATAATAAGCATCCCGTGTCCTACCGGAAAAAAAATAAAACATAACTTGTGTCGAGTTTGCGAGGTTCAACCTCTCTTTCCTGGTTATTGAGCTTTATTCAAATCAACATGATTTAGAGAAGCATAGCCGAAATGAAAATATTAATCTGAAATGATTTCTCACTAGCTCATTGCTTCATAAAATCGGGATTTTAAAAGCATTCTTGGAAAAAAAAAATCTGCCTTTAGATTGTTCAAACATCGCAAACTCCAACTTTTCGCATTTCTTTAGCATTTCAATATCAGCTATCGGGACAAGAAAAATTGAAAAACGCGACAACTTAAACTTTCGCTGTTCTCCAAAGTTTTCCGATTTCGGTGTAAGTTAAAGAAAAGTAAAAAAAAATATGCTAAACATTTTAGGGTCTTGTTTTCCAAGTTTTACAGGTGAGTTTGTTGACTTTGATAAAAATAAATCTATGTTGAAATGTCAGCATATATCAAATTCCATAATAAAATAGTAATTGTCAGCTACAAAAAAATTGTTATAAAAGTTCCTAAGGGCCTTACTTTTATTATTTTGTTTTGAGAAAAAGCAGAAGAAATTCCGAACCAGCAATTTTTTAAATTTTATTTCCGTCAGCCGCCAGCTATATATTTTTTGATTGCCATTTCGAATGATAAAATTGCGAATTCCATATATTTTTTAATCACTTTCGTATCAGGTCCCTATTCAATTTGACTGTATTAAACTTTTTACTGTCTTGAATAACGAGTCTCATGAGAATTTCTTTTCATAATAGAGGAATCTGGAAGATAAAATAGAAATTTCTGAATTATTTCCAAAGAAAAATGCAGTTGTTTAGATTGAAAAAAAACATAACTCATTGCAATTTAATACCTACTTTAGCAAAATACAAAACAAGCAAAAATTCTATACCCATTTTGGCTTGGAAGATTTATGTAGGTTTTTGGGCTTCTGAAAAACAACCTATATTGATGATTTACTTCAGTTCTCTTTATAACTGAATAAAACAGTCTAATTTATTAGCTGATCCAGAATAGTTTTTCCAGAATGAGTAAAATTTAACTGTTTTTGATAAATTTTTAACTGCCAGTCTACAGAATATACAATTCACACTCAGTTTTCAAGGGTTGCAAAAGTCATTAGGTATTCAGGAGACCAAAAAACCATGATTTTCATTTAAAAAAAAAATTAAGATGTCAATGTCGGGTAAAGGGGTAATTTGTATTTGATGTACCTATTCCTAATACCAAAAAAATCCTATTTTCCTTATTGATTATCATACATCCACCTAAAATTTCCTAGGTGCTCATCAAAATTTTTTTCCCATCATTTACACATCATTCAGGTAGACAAAGCATACTTTCCATGTAAGTCCTCGTAGTAGGATTTCCTTCAACCTCTCAAAAGTAGCTGTGGCGTTACAGAGTCCAAAAAGGCATTATCTTGAATTGGTATAGACCACTTCCAGTGAAGAAGGCTGTTTTATCTCTGTCTTTTTTGTCAAAGATCACCTGCGAGAATCCGATTTGCAAATCCAAAGTAGAAAACCAATTTGAGTTTGCCAATGTCGTATAAGGGTATTATCAGTTATGGGTAATGGGCAGTTCTCGTTAAGCTTTCCGTAATCGACGCTAGAATGCCACACATAACGTGATTCAACTCTAGGGTACAAAAATCCCGAAAAATCGAAGCAGTCGTAACAACAAAAGCCACAAAACAAATATACAAATATACACATGGCGATTTTTATCTTTAATGTACCAGAGTTTGAATTCCATAAGAGGATGCAAAACTTCCCAAGAGTTCACAAATTTAGCTCTAAAAATTTACATTTCCATAATCTTGTAGATAAATATCCCAATAATGTTAGTCTTTCTTTAAGTTCATAATTTCTTCACTGGTAAATTTTCATGAGGCATGATAGGATGTCGTTTATGCTTCTATTTTTGAAACTGGATAATCGGCTATAAAGTCTAGGGTGGCATTCTTACACAAAAATTTAACGAAGTGCCAGTCTGTGTTTTGAATAATTGAATAAGTTAAACGAAGTAAGCCTCAAAGAAATATCCCCAATTTTGTCATTATAATTAATCAGCCAACTTAAATTTGCTCTAAGATTGTTCCCAAATTAAATTCGTGTCTTGATAAACTCGATTACCATTCATTCCCGTTTCATTATATTAAAGAAAACTTTTGCCTTATCGAAAACTTCGCAAATACCTCGCAAATTGGCAGCGAAAAGAAACTTTTTCACTTCTCCAGAGCCAGAGTCACTATGATGTTATAGTTAGATTTATGTACTTTTATATTGCGTTTCTAAAAAGGATGTCACAGGCGTTTTAATGGCAATAAATACGTTAGACTTTAAATTCGAAAACTACGCTGAAACTTTCAACGGAAAACATTGTCGGGAAAAGTGTAGTCATTAGAATCGTTTTGTTACGACAACTGGGTGCTTTTATGTTCGCCTTATGTTAATTTTATTGTTTTGTATGCTTTTATATAAATTTTATTTATAACTCGATCTAGTTTCCTATCGCGAGATGATGGCACTGAACTGTGAATTGTTTTTATTGGTTCACGACCAGTGTTTGTTTAGCCAGTTGGACAAAAGCTGATGATGATACATAGCAATTGAAATTTGTTTGTTGTAATGGAAAAAGACAGATATTTGCTGTTTTATGCCGGACTGTAGTCTCAGTAATATTCACTTATTTGATTTGTTGTTCATGGTAAACAGACTAACAGTAAATGATAAAGTTGACTTGAAATCGATAAACCATAAATGTCTGTGGTAATACATCATACATTCTCAGTGACTCT